TCCCTTTCTCCACTGCAAATGCCATTCCCTAAATAGACCTGCATCCAATGACATGCTACGTTAGCAAAGCACATTCAATTCACTTAAAAGAAAAAACAGATATTATCCAAGGTTTTTACTAGGACAGAAATAAAACTCTTTCTTTCACTTCTTCATTGTTTTTGTTAATCCATAAAACTTGGGAGTGCTGTAGAGCCTTGTGGCGTGCTTCCCTCTGTGACCATGCTTTAGCCAAATTGCTGAGAAAACACACGGCAGGCAGAGCTCCCAGCGATGGGCTGCCTGAGGTAAAAGCCAGATTTTTATCATACAGTGTGTGTTTGCTGCACTTCTTTGACTTGGCTTGAAAATCAAATCAATTCCTTCCTAGTGGCAAAACAGGCAGAGACACAACTGGTGTGACACAGAAGCTCATGTGGACATGCAGCTGCTTTCCCCCTGCATCTTCACGTGCCCGGGCAGGACCACAGTGTGCCTCTGCTGCCTGGGTACTGCCCTTTGCTAGAGAAATCCCGAGAAGATCCACACAGCCAGTCTTACAGTCCACCTTGCTTCTGGAGAAACACAAATCTGAATCCGAACCTGAGAACAAGGGCAATATTTTTCTTTACAAAGTTTATTTTCTTATACCTCTGATACACAACTGTTCTGCCCAGAGAGACTCAAAGCCAAGAGCGTGGCTGCAGGAGAGGGAGTGGGGCACAGAACTCTGACGTAGTCCTGGAGAAGATGCCTACAGCTTCCTGATGGTGTTTAAAACCATGTCTGCAAATCTCACAGAGAAAGGAGATCTTGAAGTCCAGAAGGGTAAGGAGCAGGGAGGGAATTCTTCAGTTTCATGGGAAAGGTGAACCTTCAGCTCCACTAACCCATAAGCTTGGACACTATGTTAGAGAGGGATATGAAAATACAGACAAATCGATAGGATACTGGAACTTCAAGAGCCCCGCAATTAGTGGCACCCAGACGTACCCATCACCACACAAAAAAGTTATGCTCTAATGAAACAAAGGATGGCTAAATCTCAGTATATTAGCCAAAGCCTGAAAGTTATCTGAGCAACTTCTAAGTCCTGCTGCCTTAAGCACCCACCCACATGATCCATACCATAGTAACCTTAGGCAAAAAAGGAATAGAAAGCAAACCAGTTTAGCCATATTGTGCCACTTCATCTCACTACAGAGGCACCCACATGAAAAACATTGCCTGTGGTCCAAGCAGCAGCAGCTCCCAAGTCTAACACTGTCTTGCTGCTTTGTACAGTTGATAAATCACATTCCCGCCTTACTTTACTTTCCATGTCTGCGTCTGCTTCTTCTGCAAGACGAGGAGGCTTCCTTGGAACTGCTCGGATTTACAGCAGCTGAGTACAGGCCTCCATTTCTTTTCAAAGTCAAACCTAAGCTACGATTCCTTGCATTGCTCCTGCTCATGCATCCACTCAGTATGTTAAAGTTTTCTAGTTGCGAGCAGGGAAGGGAGTCTTTAAATCCATTGAGCAATCAGGTCCTGAAAACTTCACTGGCAAGGCCATGCAGTCACAGTAACCTGGGAGCAGCACGAACACATGCACACTCGGCTTTGACAAGTGAGGACTCCCTTGTTTGCCTGGGCAAGAAATTGTCCCCAGTGGTGGTGCTGGGCTCAGATTTGTCATTTCTAAATCCACCACGCTTCACACAGCAAAGCAACAACTAAGTACAACTCTACTAATTGTGCTGTGCTTCAAGCCAGGAACACACCCAGCGGGGCTTACAAATCCCAAAGCCCTTCAACCCAGGATGTGCAAATGGAAGTTAGTGGCAACAGTGCGAGGTCTGGGCTGGCAAAGCCAAGAACAGAGCATGTCAGAGCTTCCACATCATAAAAGCTCAATGCAAACTTCCAAAAAATGTCAACCCCCTGAACTCATCTAAGAAACAGGAGTTCTGAGCAACTCTTTCAGTGCTGGAACTTAGAGCTTGGAGAGACCCGCACATACCAGCATAACACACCCTTTCCAGTTTCTGCTGGGTACCCAGATTCCAAACCAGCACATGCAAGATCACCATTTGGATCCTGTGATTGCACTGATTAAAACAGGGCAAATCAACCAAAAGCACGATCTGACCTCTTACGTAGCACTTAAAACTGTTTCATGTCAGAGGTCAAGCACTCCAGCATATATGAAATTTATTACCATCTAGTTCATATACACAGTAGTGCTCTAGACTTTGAAGAACATATAACTAATGCTATTTACAAACAATGCAAGCAAAATGCAACTAATGTTAATTACAAATAATGTAATTATGACACCATTTGTGCCAACTTCTGCCTTACTAATTAGCTGAAGGTACCTGAAGTCCCTGATGACAGGCTGCATGGAGAAAATAACTGACATGAAAGGACAATCCTGACCCGCAGAGCTGCTTTTTCCTTTTACTTCTTTTTTTAAGCCATACACACAAAAGGCAAATTTTGTAAGTTACTCCTACTACATACTGATGCAAGTGTGATAAAAACTGAATGCCTATGTCTTGAACTACCTTTTAAAAATATCTTCTCTCCCTTCCTCCAGGCCCCAAATTTGTGACAGATTAAGTTCTCCTCTGCAGGAGACATTTAATGCTAAGCAAACATTAACAGTCAGAACTGCAGAAGACAGCGGCTGACAGATGCTTTCCCCGGCTTGTCCCATCTCAGACCTGTGAGACATATGAGATGCAGTTGTTTTTGTCTGAAATGTAGCTATAAAATGTTCAGCTTTTTCTTGGGCAGATTATTCTACGTTTCTCCCCCCCTAATATGAATTTTATCTTGCAAAGTGATGGGGAGGCTAAAAATCCCCAGCACTGTAGCCAGGAAACATACCCCAGCTGCTGTAATCAGTTAGGAGTAAAGTCTAGTTTTTCAAGGCAATGCATTTTTTTGTTCTTCAGCCACCATTTATTTCCTTCCTTCTGACATTTGTTTTTGCACGCCTTGCAGCTACCTTGATTTTCACATATCTAAAGGCAGCTGCTCAACCACACCCCCCAAAACAGCTTCCAAGTTTCTCTCGCTACCACTGACATTTCCCTCTACCCCCATATCCCTTTCACACTGGATTGAAACCCACAGTTTCATTTCAGTTGCTCCTTCAGCTTTGCCTTGGAGATGGAATCACTAAAAAAATTAGGTTGGACAGGACCTCTGGATGTCATTGAGTACAAACATCCACTGCCTCCAACCTGGGCCAGTTCCAAAGTTTGATCCAACTTCAAAGTGAGAGCAGGTTGCTCAGGGTCACATTAGTTAAGTTTTTAATATCTCCAAGGACTGAGATTCCCCAGTGTCTCTGGGCATCTCTTCCAATGTTTGACCACCCTCCTTGTGAAAAGATTTTTCAAAACAGCTGTCCAAGGTGTGTCCAAGTTACCTTGTGGTGAAAGGAACAAGAGTATCCCTCAGATGTGCCAGCCTATCAGAACTTTCAGAGGCACCTTATCTTCACCAGTCTCAATCCTTGCATCTTCCATATCATACTGCTCCTACCCTTTACTGAAAACAAGTGTGTGAACTATTTTCCTTGCGTACCATTCCAACCATGTAATCCCTACCCCTAACATACGTTTGCAGACTATTCATATTTCACTACATAAAATTCAGACATTGTGCACTTGCCTGATGGCTCATCACAGTCTCCCTGTCTCAAATACTTGATAGAAATCACAGAATAACCAAGACTGGAAGAATCACCTTGTCCAACCCTCATGCAAACCACGTTTTCAGTCACTCCTATCACATTGTCCACGTATATCTTCTTTTCACGTAAGAATCTCTTTGCCATCAACATGCACTCATACATTGCTTCCTTTAAAACCTAAGAACCAGTTCTGCAGTACCTCCTGCAAAATATTAGCCAACGGCTTGAGGAGCAAATGGAGCTAACTCACACCTACTTTCATATTCATGCACAATGCAACCAAGTAAAAGCAGAAGACATGTTTGAAGCTCTCCAGAACCACTGCCAGACAGCCTTTAAAGGAATTAGAAAACATGGACCAGATTCTCTTCTAAGTCAGTGCATCAATTTCTAGAGGCTGTCCCTGCTGAGATGTCACTAGAAATGTCCCTGAAGCTCTAAGCTGCACCAGCGATGAAGGACCACCACAACCTGACATCGCTCCATTGCGTCCTCTCCCCAGCAACTTGGCAGCCCACCCTGTGGCTTGCAGGTATGAAGACTTGACTCAGCATGCTTGCCTTCCTTCACAGAGCAGCCTTCTCCCAAGAGGATTTCTGTGTTCACTATCTGCAAGCAGTACCCAACTCCTTTAAACCGAAGTGGTGGGGTCTGCTAAAAGAACATACCTAACAGGTGGTGCCTTCCATAAAGCCCTCTCAGAGTACTATTTCCACACAGTCTGCTCCTCTAGATCGAACAGAGATAGGGGCAGTTTAATTAGGAGACCAAAGGGGGATGACTTGCTGCAGGAGACCTCACAGGCAATGTGGTGGCAGATAAGCTGTGTATTTCTTACCCACCTCCTGCACACCATAGCTACACCTAACCAGCCTTGACAGAGATGCAGAGAAAGCATCTGGCATGCAGAAAGAGTGAGCTGTAAACAAGACTCACCTTCACAAATCTTGGGACTTGAAGTAGTGTCTATTCTAGTCTTTAATTGTCTGTGTGTCCCATGTATCTCTTTCTAGCCAAGCTTGTCCTGTAAGAGAAAAATATGCAATTACTGAAGAAGTCAATAAAATGCAATCACGTTAAATACACAATTTATTAAAACACACCATCCTGATGAATATGCTCAGTCTAATTGCCACCTTAATTTAGTGTACATTAGCACTAATGAAGAGCTTTTAATACCCAGTGAGGGATCCAATTCCTCAGAATCTCTTTAACAGCGTTTGGGCTATTTTAAAGGCCCACAGACCACATGTAAAGCTATAGTCCCATTACACATGCACCTCATACCACAACAGGATTAGATTAATACCAGCTGCACCTTCAATATTTTATAGGAGCTTTAGACAAACTTTAATCTGCTGTGACTTTACAGCCCATTTACCAGGAAAATGGAAACGGCAGAGGAAGGGAGATGGAATGCATCTTGAGGAAGCCCAGGCCAGCCATCAGGAGCAACGGCCTGAGATGCTGGGCGCTATCCCTCATTCTTCCAGCCAGCTCTCACGCCAAGCTGAGCAAACTATTTCCTCTGTCTCATTGTCACTGCCTGGGAAGCAGCAACAGAGAGGAATGGCGAAGTCACTGCACTGCCCGCCCAAAGGCATTAGATAACTGCTGCAGGCAGAGGGACCTGGGTGCACAGTACCACTGCCCTTGAGCTAACACTTACAATTTTCTCAGTAAATTTTAATTTCTGCCTGCACAATCCTAATGACAGTCTTTGGCTAGGCAAAGGTGAGGTGAGACTACAGTCTGACTTGCAAAGCATGCTTCTTTGACTGTCACTTTCTCAGAGCACCCTCTCCCACGTTGTTTTTTTCCACCCGTCCAACACAGCCCCGACCCCATACTGCAAGGTCTGTGGGGAAGGGGCAGCCTTTAACTATTCAAACAGTGCCCCATGCTATAAGGGTCCAATATTCACACAGGGTTGCTCGGCACTGTAACTCACCCACTCATCCTTTGCAAGTCATTTTGGAATACTCGCAGCTTTGCTGAAGGCACTGCTTCCCTGTAAGGGTTCAGATAAGTCACCTGGGTCTATCCCTGCTCTCTCACTGCCAGCATTTCATCATGATTTCTGGAGGGGGTGCATTTAACATCTGTTTCCCACAAACATTTGTGAACGCGCCTTTGAAAATTGCCTCCCATTAAGACTTCTGTGAGTAAAAGTCTATCGTTTGTTGTTGGCAGGAAGCAAACAAAGAGTTTCAAGGTGGCTGAAACTATTACAATATAAAACATATAATGAATATTCATAGACTTTTTTGCTTTGCATTAATCCCTCACATTTAACGTCCCTCCTCTGTCACTGTAGACCTACATCTCTGAATGATGAGCAGGGATGGCTTCCCTTTTGAAATCTGGAGCGTACAAACATCTATAGCCAATCGACCCATCTCTGCCGCAAAGTACTGAAGGCGTCTGCTGAGCAGCCGCTGAATTGCCCCACTTTACAGTCCTGTGTGTGAAGGCTGCCCCGGATCAGTACAGCTTTACCACCAGTGTGGAAGTTCAGAGGGTGCTACGTGACCGGCTGGGAGATGGTTGCAGCAGGGTCAGGGACCTCCAGAGAGGGCCTTGGAGAGTCTACAGCTAGGACAAGAGACAGTGTCACTGGCCCACAGTAGAGAGCCCCTTTTTGACAGTCAGAGCCCAGTGCCTACCCTTACCTTTTTATCTTTTTCTTTTGCGTGGGGGGACTCTTCATCCTGTGTTCTGCATGTGTAACTCAGAGACAATTTCTTCATTCGTCCTATCCTGTGATGCCGCTATCCTAGGATAGCTGCTGCCAGGAGAACGTGGCTCTAACTTTAAAGCGGAGGTGACACTGTGCTACATGAACCTATCATTAGGAAAATAACCAGAATGACAGGATTCCTGCTCCTACTGCATGTGCATATAATTACATCCCTACAAGCCCTCAAAGGTCTATGTGGGAGAGGAATTTTATTTTTTTATTCCTCTTAAGTCACAATATTTTAAAGAAATTACAGCACCACAGAGAGGAAGAGCTTAAATGCTTCAGTAGGCACCAGCAGGTGCTGTGTCAGAAGGGATGAAAGCGTGTGTTTGGTGCCAAACAATAGCAATACTCCATCTTACTCTATGGCCCTAAAGGGGAGGAAGTCCCTGCCAAACAGACTCTCTTTGGTTAATAGCTACGATTTTGTCATTAGAGAGAATTGCAGAAAGTGCAAAACCACCATGCCTAATTGTGACTTGAGCAAGCTGATGCCTTTAATTACAGTCGCTGGGGAAACACAGTGGAAGCTGGAGTAACAGCCGAGGCCAAGCCTCCTTCCTTGGGGCGGCACGTGTGCAAGCCATGCTGCCTTGGCTGGCCGAGCAGCTGCGTTTGGCACACGGTCCTGCCTCCTCGCTCATCTCACAGCCCCTGCATCAAGTGTTCTGCTGAGCATTGGCTTCTCTTCACATTCGTCGGTTTTAGAGCAGCTCTTTGTGAGGACCAGGCTTTGATGAAGGAAAAGCAGCTAAACTCATGACTCCTGCTGGTCTCATTCAGCAAGACAGCTGGAGAGCCAGAGCGAAGAGGGAGGGGACAAAAAGAGATTGATAGAGTCAACAGGTAGCAAGTGAAACAAGAAGTGAATGGAGGGTGCAAGATGGAGAAGCAAGGCCTGCCTTTGGGAGAAATCCAGTCTAGCGCAGGAGGGCCACCAGATGAATGGCTTGCCGGTGTCCTGCTTCACAAGTGCCTCTAGCTACTGCCAATCCCCTTTGCTCACCACATTTGCAGGACCTAGAGAAACCGAAATACAGGCCAGCCCATATGTTCTGCCAAAGGAGAAGCTGAAGACAGAAGTCATGTCCTGCTGGATCTCTGCAACAGGTCAGCGCTTTTATGGTGAAGGGTGAGGAGAAATACCTCTGTGGAAGCAGGATCAGATTAATATCATTCCCTTGCAGTGTCTTCAAAAAAAGTATAATATTTGCTGCTCCTGAACTGGAGCTTGGCACAAGCTGTCAGCCCCATGCATTATCCTGTAACTATTGCTCCTACATAAATAACTAATTGCACTGGAATTTCATAGTGCTTGCATAGCAGAGTCATTACTGTGAGACAACTACATTACTGCATGTAAATCCAATTAGATTCCGAAGTGCACTGTGTAACTATAATCGGCCCCTGTGGAGCAGCGATGAGGGGACCTGCACAAGGCCATGCAACTAGATACTAAATTACAGTCAATCTACCTCCTCTTTAGTTGCATTAAAATGCTAATGTCACTGTAATATGGGCCCATTTACCAGCGATGACTGCCTTGCCTTGCAACACTGGAGTGAATGAGGTTGTTGCACTGCCTGAGAGCATTTAATTCCTTAGTACAGTTGAGTGAGCAAAGCCCTTAGGGGCATCTTATACCTTAAAACAATAACCTGATTGGCTTTTATAACACTAGCATCATATGAGGCTTGGGATGGTGTTTAAATGAGTCTGAGCTGCTGCTAAAACTACCCTAAGTTTCCTACCCAAGCAGAGTGTTCGGGACAACTGGGCCACATCCTTTCCTGACTCTTGTCTGCCTGCTTTTAACGAAGACAGATTTCTGCCACCAAAAGGCAGTGCATAAGAGCACATCAGTCACACACAGGAGGAAAAAGACGGCTGGACTGAACCTCTTAAAGCTTCATATAAATAACACCAGCTTTGCAATAAAATCAATAATACAACACTTACCATCTATGTTTTATATTTGCAACTTTGCACAATGTGTGCATAGAATACATGAGTTCATATGGAGGTAAAGTCTCCCACATGTACAGACATTCAAAACGGAAATTCAGAAGTCCCAGAGCAGAACCTATTCTCCCAAGTGTTGTAACGTTTGGAAAAGTGCTAGGGTATGCATTTGAAGTGCCAGTGTAGCATCAGGCCACAAACCACTTCATTTCAACTAGTGCAAATGTGCATACAGCACTGTTCTAAACACAGAAGCAAAGTTCAATGGGTAATCATGTCTGGTTCTTTCATACAGCTTTTCACATACAGACATCAGCCATCTCAGAAAAGAAGATGGTGCAAACAGAACCAACACATCTGATAGCCTGCAACTCTTTTAAGTTCTCTTCCTTAAAAAAAAAAAAAGTCCTCAGCTCACAGGTGTATTTTCCCTTGTATTAACTGCAGTACAATGGAACCATATGGTACTGATTGTCTGTCTTTCTAAACAGATAACCCAGAGATTATATGCACTGATAATGTAAAAATATTAATTCTGTTTAGCAGATAAGAGAACCAAGGCTAAAAGGGGAATGGATATGCTGGATCTCCTGACCCACAGTACAGCCCTCTGTTCACCAGTCCATACTGAGACCAGTCCCAAACCCATGAAAAAGTTTATCACTTCTGGCTGACAAGTTACACTTTTTGACAGGTATCTTCTGTCCCAGAAAGAAATCTATTTAGCATACGAAAAGGGACACAGCTAACTTTGGCCTCCTAGGTCTGGAAATAATTCCCTTCAGGGTAGAATAAATGTCACTGTCCTGAGAGGATCATGGAGTTGCATCACAAGCCAAGTGACATTATCCACTGTCATGTCAGCTACTGTCAAGCCTTGAAACACTCCATACGCTTGCACAGCATTCCAGACTCATAAGGCATTTACCATGAAGTGTAAATGCCTGCCGCTTTTTCCCTGAGCCTGACACATCTCACCTTTACAACAACTGACTCCTCCGAGCTCTTTTCTATTCTCTTTTTCTATAGCCTTGCTTTGTTTGCGGCAAATGCCTCAGCAGTTTGTGGCGTTCATGACTGTTTTGAAAGATTCAGGAACACATCTCAGAAACACTGGGCAGTTGCTGTGGCAACCCTGTCCTCCTCAGACCATGTTTTCCATTATTTTAAGAAGTTTCCTGATACTTTGCAGGCTTCAGGGAAACAATGCAGAGGAGGAAAATGATTGATTTTAAAGTAAGGAAGCAATCAGAATGGATTACTACGAGCCACAGGGCCTTGTCCCATCAAAAACATGA